GAAGCTACGCCATGTTCTAAACGTCATGATAATTTGGTGTCCCTAATAATCCATAAGATTGACAGTGAAGAATTTACCCATGAAGAGAGTGCGTGTTTTTATTGATAACAGGGCTCAACGTTTAAATAAATAAATAAATATTTCCAACACTCACACTAATTAGCCTAACCCCAAAGTAAGCACTGTAAGGCTTGTGTTAAGGGCTACTAGGGTAACGGATAGAATACATATACTGTACATATATAAGTATATTCATATAGAAATACATATTAAACATCCATGACTGGATTACAAATGCTTGTATTCATCCACCGGGATTCAAACGCGGGACCTCTCGAGTCGGCGACACCATAAAACCCGGCGTACAAATCACTCGGCCATGGACACGGAGGTCCTCAAAGGACTGTATTCAAGCCAATGGAGATCATTTTGAATGAACTTCATATTATTTATTTTAATGTTATTATATATTAATGTACAAACTAACACACATAACAATAACAGTAACAGAAATCGCGAAAAGATTGGTGGAGACCACTGGAGACCGCAGAGCTAGCGGCTATTTCGGCGCATAAACCTCGCCATTCAGCGGGGAAATGCCGCCAGCGTCCTGGGAACCTTTGCCAACGGGGAAGACTTAGGGCAGCTATTTTATTAATATTTTTTTAATTTTTGTCTAGTTTTAGTGTAGTTTTAGTTTAACATATGCCATGATGCTTTTGATTTGTTTCTAGAATTATTAATAAAATTGTTTACAATAACAGTTGATTTATGTAATTTGTAGAAACGACGAAGGTTTAGATAATATAATGAAGAACAACGTGTTGCTGTAAACATTGTTTAAGGACATCGGAATTTTTAATTATTAAAATATATAACAAAAAGGCTGTATTGCAACAGATCAATGTATAATCCATTTAAATTGTGTTCTTCACTGATCTATTCTTCTGGCTTTACAAACGTCGTTGTATCGCTTCAAACCACTAGAAACACGCGTCGGCGGCACGTTTAAAAATCGTGATGTGGTTCTCAGAGGTCATACTTACAATATCACATATGCCCATAGTTTCATATCACATCTCACTCCACGACCCCCCAAAACATTCTCATTTCTCACGACAATATTTAAAATAAACATTACTTATTCTGTTAAGTATACGTCAAGCAATCATTATACCAACAAAAGGCACTCAGCCAACGGTTTTTCTCGACATCTTTTAATTAAAGTCATTCGGAGCAATCGTCCATTGTTCCGGAAACAATATGGCGGCGCGCGCACCCGCCGTCACTTCCGGCTGCTCACAATGCGCGCGCGCCACAAAAGCGCAGTGCGATATTATTCGCGGCGTTTCGGTTTGCGAGCTGTTATTACTCCGGCGGCTCGAGTTACTGACTTTGGCAGTTGCTGATGGCTGTGTCCAGTGATTCTCAACTTTAATAAAATATTTATATCTAATAGAGTATTTGTCAGTATATAAATTAAGTACTAAATATTAGGAAGTGTATTCAACAGGGCGAGCACATCTTGACCTGTCATCTACACTAGAGTCTTCATTGGATCGTTTGATGGTACGATTTTAATTGGCGCGTAACCGCAACGATGCAACGCAATAACTGCAACACGGTCTTCTTTAAGCGTCCACTCCATATTTAAAAATGAGTAAAATTCTAAAAAGTATACATTTTTATTTTCATGAACAATTCGAAATTCGAATTCAGTAAACTTTTTTGTGGCCAGCATTCTAAAAGAAAAGTTTTTACTGTGTGACAATACTTATGACCTGACTGTGTATAGGTTCATTTAAAAAAATCTCAAACTTCCAAAAAATTATCAAAAAATTATCTGGTGTGTCCCGGGACTAGTTTTGTTGAATTAAAGAGTTTGCCAATAAATCGGCTTTCTATTGCAGTTCATGAGATACTGTCTGAATCGATGTTGAAACGTGATCGAAGATGAGAATGTCGTCTGGACATCTCAGAGGTGGCAGCGATGGATGGCAAAAGTTATTGCCATCCATCGGACTTGTCCAAACAGCAATAACTATAGAAGCAGCATAATCGCGATGAACCAGCGGTTACGTGTGCCCTTAGTGATACGATCAGAATGAGGAATATAGTATTCTATATACATTACAACCTCCTCAGTAATGGCATTGGCGCTGGCCGATAGTGCCCTGTCACTGAAGCAGCGCTGCTTCCAAGGGACTGACGCAAAGTAGGCACGGTCCCAATCTGCTGACCCATACCGCCAGATCCGGCGTTTGACCACCGGTGGCCGTGGAGGCTTGGCCTGTGGCGCTTGGACAGATATCAGACAATGATCCGACGAGCTCCGTAGGGTATTACCCACAACCTGTTAGCCCTTTAGCAAAAGGACCAACAAAGAGGGTGATGGACTTGGAATATCGGGGAACCTGATAGGCTGATCAATCAAAAATGATAATAGAATTCCCAAAAAAAAGTTTCAAACAATCTAAATCAGTATTTATTTTGTAAAGCTTTTCTAAGTCGAAGTAGAATCTCTGTCTAGGACAAATAGGTTCCTTATAATGAGGTTTTAGTATAGTCATTTGGTGAGAAATATAGTGATCACCTGGAAAGTTTTCCGGGAGTTTTGCAACTTTGGTAATTTTATAAATTTTGAGGTGTTCTTTCCGAACTTCGTGTTTTTGCCGCTCGCGCCGCCATATTGGAAAAATGGCGCCTAAAAGCAGTTTTTTTGACAATATCTCCTTTTCAACTCATTTAACGATAAAAACAGTTAGTATAAAATGAAATTAGAGACAATTGTCTACAATTTATTTATTTATCTTTTTTTTCATAAAGGCAATAGTTTTGGCGTAAGAGCGCCGTCAAGTGTACTCCAACTGTATCACTATCGTGATCGTCAAAACTGTGTGTTTGTGTGTGTATGAAGACTCCCCACCCGCCCCAGTCTTCATACCCACACATGCTGCTTAGTTTTCTTTCAAAATTTAATATAGAACTTGTTTTAATAAGTCCATTCTTATTTTTCTTATTTCTTTCGCCACTCTCTTCACCGATAAACAGTTTGAGAACGTATGCGCGGGCGCAGGCGCAGGGCGCCTCATGAACTATAATTTTGATTTCGACCGTTCAGTTCACATTACATTACACGTGTGAGCGCAAATTTGCTGACATTAAATCTTTCAAGAGGAAAGCATGAAAGCTCTTTTTTTATAAAGGCAATTATTGAACTAAATTTGGCACATTTCAAAGAGCTTATTGTCGATAAGTGGTTTACGACTTAGAAGACATCGATTTTGGTTATTAATAATAATAATATATTTTTTTCTTATGTTTTGAATGCAATTAAAACTTGTTAGTTTTATTTTATTGTGTTTTTAACAATCATCATCATCATCATGATCATCAGCCTATGAATGTCCAAACTGTTTAGGGACTTCCCTATGGATGGTATAGGGAAATTGGGCCATGAACCATCACGCGGGCCCAGTGCGGATTAGCGGGTGCTAACGACTGCAGATGCAGCCGGGACCAACGGCTTAACCTGCCTTCCGAAGGACGGAGAAACTCGAGACAGAAGATTTTTGGTCACCCATCCAATGGACGAATGTATAATGTATGTAATGTAATGTATGTGTAATAAAACGAAATATATGCGACACGATATTTAATTAATTACACTCAATATATTGCGGTTTGAAATATTAACATTTTAATAAACATAAAATTATATCACAATTTTGTAACAACTCAATTGTCACTTCTTATAATAATTTATTTATATGATATTTTTCTAATTACTAATAACTGAATATATGTATGTATAATGTAAATAGGTACTTACATGACTAATATTATGGGCTAATTTTAAATGTACAATTTGTTAAAGGAATGGTTGTTACATACTATAGAATGTGCAAAGATTTATGTGCAATGACATCAACATTGAGATCCAATAGATATTAATTGATCTACTATCTAATATTTACAAAAAAGAAAACTAATACGAAATTAATATTGAAATAATAAAAGATTTTTTTTACTTAATGGTAATACATATACATAAAATCCAATTATATTTTCATTAATATTATCTACACTTTATATACAGGCTGTAAAAAAACCTTTAACGAAGTCGAAGGCCACGTATTTTCCACATCATGACGATCATTTTTTTCTTCTGACCATACCTGGGAAATTTATGGTTATAGAGATATTGAAGGTCAAAGTAAAATGTTTTTTTCAAGATTTATACATTCATATTTTCAAAACGTTATTTAGAAGCTTTTTTATCGACGCACTTACACACACGCACACATACACACAGGCAAATTCTTTGCGTAGCGCCACAGTAGCGCGCCGCGCTATACATTGCGTATTGGAAAAAATTTTTTTTTTTAACATTACTTGTTTTTTGTAATATTACTTGTTTGGGTGAACAAAATGCGTAGTTTTAGTCTTCGTCAATCGTTTTTTTTACACCCTGTATATAAACTTTTATTACTTTTTGTTCCGGCGTGTTTTTTTACAAGTTGCAGCAAGTTACTTCTATCTTGTACCACCTACTTTCATGTGCGTAGTTAGAGATTATAACCCCTCCCCCCCCCCCAGAATTAGAAAATGTCAATAAGACTTTTGGTCAGTAATATCTGTAATGCCTTTTTTATATTAGCAGCTCAGCTGACGCCTTCAATGGTCCTAGGGAGGGCGGAAGTCCAATTAAACTTATACTACTTCTTTAATCTTCTATTTATATAAAACTCAAAGGTGACTGACTGACTGACATAGTGATCTATCAACGCACAGCCCAAACCACTGGACGGATCGGGCTGAAATTTGGCATGCAGGTAGATGTTATGACAAGCATGAAAGTTGGAGGGTAACTCGGCGAAGGCTGAAACGCGACGAGCGTCACGAGCGTCACACGCATTAATACATTTATATAAGTGATAAATGTATTAATGCGTGTGACGCTCGTATGAAGCAGATTCATAATCCTAATGTTAGGTTATTTAAGAAAAGAAGTTTCACTTCAGATTTGTGGTCCATGCACAATATTTTTTTATTTACCCTCATTTTTAGGGTTTACCCTTAAAAAATATTAGGGTAAGTACAAGATTGACCTTAGTCATTCCAGAATGCGACTTATAAGTGGTGTCGCTCCAGCCATTTCTACGTTGTGAGGGTTGAACACAATCCCTTACCCCGTGGAACCCTTGACCCTAGACTCTCTTCCCTATTCACCAACAGTAATTAAACAGGTGTAACACATATTGGCCTACGAGATTTTTTTTGTATGTAGAAGAAATATACCTTCCGTTACTACCTACCAATTTGAGTAGAATTACCATTTGGAAAAGATGAATTCCTAGATTCAAAACTAAATTATGATAAGTTATATAAAAAAATCCTATTTATTTATTATATTACAATTTTCCTATTATACAAAAGCTCATACATAAGTGACTTGTGTATGAGCTACGAGTCCTACAATACTATGACATAATAATGTATATCAATGACTGGTTATTCACCTAATGTCCGTCACAATGCTGCTCCTATATTTTATTTATATAGCACTCCATTACTTACAATTACATATTCACAAGTAATTTTAAAATACACCCCGTCACGTCTCAATTCCTACTTTAATTCACTCACTTGACTCCCCAAACCCGTTGAAATAACCTCTGGGTCACAAGAGTTTTGAGAAAAACGTGTTCGGCGCAGTCATCCTGGCTGGGTCCATTATCCTTGGATATGAGGCTCCCAGGAAAGGTCTGAACGCGACCCTGCTGGACTCATCCACTGGGCTAGCGGCAGCTTCCTGCGTCGACTCATCCTGGGTATCCAGAGACGATTCGTTATTCGACCCTCCCACCCCCAAATGCAGCTTCCTAGTATGCTTCTTAAGATCGAAATTCCTGCAAAAACCTTTGGCGCATATGCTGCATGTGAAAGGTTTCCGCTCGTTGTGCGTGTGCATGTGGAATGTCAGGTTGTAGATCTGGTGGAAGGCCTTGTTGCAGATACTGCATTTGTAAGCCTTCTCGCCACTATGCGTCAGCCTGTGGTTCTTGTAGTTGCCCTTCTGATGGAAGCCTTTGCCGCAGAATTCGCACACGAAAGGTTTGTAGCCTGCGTGGATGCGTGCGTGTGTGTTCAACGTCGAAGACCTGTTGAAGGCTTTCCCGCACGTCAGGCATTTGTGGGGCTTCTCTGAAGTGTGAATGATCTTATGTCTGCACAAGGTTGAGGCTTGGCGAAACCCTTTGCCGCAGATTTTGCAGACGAAAGGCCTCGCTCCTGTGTGGACCGGCATATGCCTGGTCAGATTGTAATGCGCGTTGAAAACCTTCCCGCAATCTCCGCAGGCGAAGCTCTTGTTCTTCGCTGGAGAGGTTGTGGGCCCAGTAGTTGAGGAGACGGCGTGTTCCGCTGCAGGAGGCCTAGGGCTCGCTGGTCTTTGGACGGGTGACGTCGGTGGAGGTGGCCTCGGCAAGTGCAACTGATGAGCGTATGTTAACGATACTAAATCGGGACCATAGTACAGTAAAGGGTAATGCGATACCAGTTGTCTTCTGGCGGCAGGAATGTACTGTTTGAAAGCCGAGTCTAGGAGCTGAGCTCCGTATGATAGGAACCCTGGTGGTGGTGGCGGTTCTGGTGAGACTGACTTCTTCCTGTCGGGCTCCATGAGCCTGGCTATCGAGAAGTTGAGGACGGGGGCTGCAGTAGGAGCGGTGGGCGTGTCTGGAGACTTGGCCCGCTCCGGGGAGGACTCCCGGGGCCCCTCCGGCCGGGCGCTGGACTGGAACGGCTGCATGATGACCAGGTAGAAGTATCACATCTGTGGACAAGAGTGGTGGTTGAAATTTCCATTTTTTGCTCACTTAAGGGCATGTATTAAGCGCATGTAGGAAGAAGAATATATGTATTTTTGAAATAAAACCTGCTGTTTTTTTCAAGTGAATCTTTTGTAACATCGACACTACTTCTTCGTTTATCTTTAATATAGTATTAAATTTTAAATTGTTATTTATAAAATTAGGACATTTGAATGTTGATTCAGTGGTAGGAAGCTCGCCTGCTACGCAGTTCGATTCCCATCCGAGCATGGTTTTTTTTAAATAGTTTTTATAGTTTCATTTCGTACTTTTATTGTTCCTTCTGAACTTCTAATTTCTATATTATGAATACCCAACAAAACATATTAAACGCATAGGTACTAAGAAAATCTTATAGTTAACAAGTAGTTGCATATTTTTTTATGAAATTTGTGCATTAAGAAAAGATATATTTCATCTTATTAAAAACCAATTAAATAGCACGAGACTATTTAAGTTACGATGGCGCAGGTGGTTAGCGCGTTCGGCTGCGATCGTTGAAGTTAAGCAACTTTCGCAGTGGTCGGTCATTGGATGGGTGACCAAAAATTTACTATGTCGAGCTCCTCCGTGCTTCGGAAGGCACGTTAAGCCGTTGGTCCCGGCTGCATCTGCAGTCGTTAGCACCCACCAATCCGCACTGGGCCAGCGTGGTGGGTCATGGCCCAATCTCCCTATTCCATCCATAGGGAAGGCTTGTGTCCCAGCAGTGGGGACATTAATAGGCTGATGATGATTTAAGTTACAAAAATAATACTTGATAAAAGTAAATTCAATGCACGGCTTTTCCTAGTGTCAAACGTCAACTCTACAGGCTCATACAGAACTTCGCGTGCGCGATTTTCATTAGATTTTCACTATTCTCGGTGGCATTAGCTGCTTAAACAGCATAATATTCTCTCGTTTTGATCAAAAAATGTTTGAAATAGCTGTAAGATGATAGATGAGATGAGATGTTTATAAGATGGCGATATAGAGCAATACCAATCAACCAATTCATGACGCACAGTAGAAAATATGGGATTGGAAGCATAGAAGTCATAACCGACATGCGACGACAAAGTTATCTTTCAGTAAACGCATTGAAAGTGTTAATTATGTTAATATGTTCATTGGTCACATGCGAGTTACGGATTGCCAGACTACGAAGAACGCTGACACCGCCGTATTACAAAGAGGGCTATCGCGTATGAATCCGCCGCTAGAGGCGCTAGTGTGTCTGTAATGAGGGCTATCGCGTATGAATCCGCCGCTAGAGGCGCTAGTGTGTCTGTAATGAGGGCTATCGCGTATGAATCCGCCGCTAGAGGCGCTAGTGTAGTGTGAGGTCTCCGAAATGTCAAATGTTATTGCTTGTTGGTTGACTACGCGGGTTTATTTCTAATTAAAATAATGTTGTGAATAATTGGTAACAATTCGGCTTAATTATGGCAAATATGAGTTATGTTTCAATGAATGTCAGTTATTAAAAATTTGAGCTTAGAAAAATGATTATGTTCCCATTTTTTCCGAATAAAACGGAACTGCGCGTCACTGTGGCATGGCCTATTATGTTTAGGATATGGTTCTTTTGTGTTAAAATAATACAAGAAGATCTAAATGTAACCTTTGATTTCATGTGCGTATTAATAAACTTTAAAAGTTACAATTTAGGACCTCACTCAACAGTGGCGCCATCTGGTGAGACAGAAAACGGTAGCCCTCATTCACACAGTACATGTTGTAATATGACCAAAACGCCGACATTGCACAAACGTGAGAACCATACGTACACCGCCGAGCCCCCCGCACCTCTTTGATGCCTCATGGTGCCCGTGGCCTCGCCACTTCGTTTCACACTTCGATCGGGCCAACTAGTTTAAGAATTAGAATGTAATTTTTATAATAAATTAGTATTAGAAATCATTTTGGTTCTTTTTTAACTCTTACGGCCATTGGCGGACTAAGCTCGTCAGAGGCCCGGGGCGGCAAAGCTGAATGAGGCCCCCCAGCTTTAAAAAAACTTTTATACCGCAACAAAAATCAATAACACTATTACACTTTTTAATGAAGTTACTTTGAACGGATTTTAAATGAGGCCAATGTTTATTTTTTGACGTAAATATAGTGAATGTTATTAAATGTAGGCGTAAGCAGATAGAGCAGATGGGACATTATTAGGCTGATGATCATGATGATGATGACATCGCGTTAGTTTGACAGTTAAACGCGTTAAATAACGTGATATAATGTAATTTGTGGTGCTCATGCAAGGAACTAGGCAAGTCTTATATCCGTGCGGTGACGGAGAAAGAATACAACTCACCGCCCCTTTTCTTCGCGTGGGTGTCGTAAGAAGCGACTAAGGGATGTCGGAGCTTCCATCCGCTCTTCTGGTGGTAGGGTGCCTAACACCCGCCTGGTTTGTTACCACCGTGCGCATGGTGAAAAACCCGTGAAGTGCTTCTCGCGCGTTTCGGGGTCAGCCAGCGTACAACCAGAGCTCGAGTGGAAGTTGTCGCGAAGGATTCGGTCCAGGGGAGGCATCCGTGGAACCGATGCCGGGAGGACTGCATCGACCCGTCGGCCAGGGAGACCCGTAGAAACGGCTGTCCCGCTGGCCGCCCGTGGCACAGTACAGGGGCCCAAGCGTTCCTAACCAGTTCGCGAGGCTGCCCCATCATGTCACGCATAATCTCGGGGTGGACCGTCGTGCCGGTTGGTGACCGGGGCGTGGGGTCCCGGCGGCCACTTCCGGGGGGGTGCGGGGGCCCTTCCGTCCGGCGGGTCGGCGCATCTCCACTGCAGGCAGTCAATCGGGAAGACAAACCCCCCTTATTTGCCTGGACTCTTCGCGACGGCGTCCGCTTCGCGTCTCTTTTTTTTCACTTCCACCATGGCAGCCTCAATAACAAAGTTTGGACGTACAGCGGTGCACGCCCCCACGCCTTCAACGCTATTTGAGGTCGAGTTCTGCAACATACGCGGACTCCACTCTAACCTCAACGCTGTCCACCACCATCTCGAGACAGCGCGGCCAGCATTGTTGTTCCTGACGGAGACACAAATACTTCCGCCTGCTGACACAGGCTACCTTAATTATCCCGGCTACGTGCTTGAAGAGTCCTTCAAAGCGAAAGCCGGTGTATGCCTGTATGTTCGGGCGGATGTTTGTTGTCGCCGTCTCCGCTGCTTGGAAGATCCCTCCTTCTCCATGCTGGGGGTACACGTCGACTCTGGCCCCCGGGCCAGAGTCTACGTGTGCCTCTACAGATCCCACACCGGCGATGTTGAGACAACTCGACTTTTTGAACACCTTAGTCGGGCAGCAGATGACGCGCAGGAGCGATTTCCCAATGCAGAATTGGTGTTTTTGGGGGACCTTAATGCTCACCACAATTTGTGGTTAAGTTCTTCCAAAACTGACCATGCAGGGATCGCTGCTCACACATTCGCTCTCACGCATGACTTGAAGCAACTGGTTGATCAGCCCACCAGGATCCCAGATATTCCAAGTCAAGCGCCTTCTTTACTGGACCTTCTGCTCACGACCCATCCACAGGGCTATCAGGTTGTGGTAAGAGCCCCCCTGGGCTCGTCCGACCACTGCCTGATATCTGCCAAAGCACCACAGGCCAAGCCTCCGCGTCCAGCAGTGGTCAAGCGCCGTATCTGGCATTATGGGTCGGCAGATTGGGACGGTATGCGTGATTACTTTGCGTCCGTCCCTTGGAAGCAGCGCTGCTTCAGTGACAGGGACCTATCGGGCAGTGCCGTTGCTATTATTGAGGAGATCATAATGGGTATGGAATACTATATTCCTCATTCTGATCTCATCAGTAAGGGCACACGTAACCTCTGGTTCAATCACGACTGTGCTGAAGCTGCTTCGCGTAAGCAAGCGGCATATCGTGCTTGGATCAGAGGCCCCGCTCTCAAGGATCCCGGGGTCGATTCACTCAAAGCAGCCTACAATTCTGCTTCCAAGGCCTGTAAGAAGGCTTACATCAGAGCGGATGCCCAGCGTGTTGCACGTGTTGGCCAGGAACTTATAACGCATCCTGCGGGCTCCCGTAGCTACTGGCGTTTGGCCAAGGCCGTGCAAAAAAACTTCTGCCAGCCCTCGCTGCCACCTCTGAGATGCCCAGACGGAACACTAGCTCATAAGCCGCAGGAGAAAGCCGATTTACTGGCAAAACTCTTTGCGGCTAACTCCCGAATCGATGATTGCAATGCACTGCCACCATCATTACCTCACTGTGGCACAACGATGCCTGATATTAAAATCAGGCAGCGTGAGGTTCGTGCCGAGTTGCAATCACTCGACGTCCGGAAAGCTAGTGGACCTGATGGCATCCCAGCAGTAGTACTTAAAAAATGTGCAGCGGAGTTGTCTCCCGTGCTCACGCGCTTGTACCAATGCTCGTATTCTTTGGGGCGTGTGCCGGAGACTTGGAGAGATGCTAACGTGTAACCGGTGCCCAAAAAAGGGGATCGCTCGGACCCGGCAAACTATCGGCCAATAGCAGTCACCTCAGTTTTATGTAAAGTTCTAGAAAAGGTCCTTAATAACCATCTGACCCGCTACCTAGAGGATCACTCCCTGATTAATGATCGTCAATATGGATTTAGACCGAAACGATCGACGGGTGATCTTCTAGCGTACTTAACTCATATCTGGGGTGAGGCTATCGACAAGCGTGGCGAGTCGTTGGCTATCAGCCTTGACATTGCCAAGGCGTTCGACAGGGTCTGGCACAAAAGCCTTCTCTCCAAGCTTCCGGCATACGGTCTGCCAGCCCAGTTCTGTTCTTGGGTAGCTGACTTCCTGCATGAGCGTAGAATTCGTGTCCTTACGGATGGTAGCAGTTCGCGGTTCATGTCAGTGAATGCCGGCGTTCCCCAGGGCTCCGTCCTATCCCCCACTCTATTTCTGCTGCATATCAATGACCTGATTCCTCTTGGGAATATTCATTGCTATGCA